AAATAACAAAAAATATGAAAATATTTAAAACGTTCAATAAATTAATAATCAGCAAATTGTAAACATGTTTGAGTAACAATAAATAACTTATTGTGCAAATATTGTTTTTTATCTGTTTAAAACTAAGTTAATTTAACAACTTTAAAAACAATTAGTTTGCAAACTAACAAACTACTTTTTTGCTTGATTGTCATTTACTTAATGTTTGTGATTGTAAATAAAAACTTTTGAAATATATTCTAGTTTGTTTGTTTCAATTTGACTATTGTAACTTGGTTTTAGAAATAAAAACACAATTTTTATAAATTAATTTTTTGTTTTTTATTTTTTTAATTTTTTATATGGTTTTATTGTTGTTTAGCGCAACGATGCGTTAGCAGCAAGTAGGTGTTGCAGTATTTGCGGTCATCATAAATTACCGACTATATCATAGAACTATCAACTGCTGCTTTTGAATGCAAATGTCTCCTTTTATTTTAAAGCCAGTCAGACGTCAACTCGACCAGCCACTACTACTTTGCAGTATCTCACTTTTTTTGGCTGGCTGACTGATTGACTGACCTACCGAGAAGGCCGTCTGACGCAGCACTCCAACAAAAAAAACCGTTATTCTTCACTGTCTTAGTAGGCAATGTTTAATCAAATTACCCTTTTCTTGCTTCTATGCAAAATGAAAGATGTTTTTATTGTATGCAGGCGCAATGTTAGAATGAGTAATAAATCTGTTTTAGCTGCTTGCCTACTCTGCAAATGGTCGCACATTAGGTGCCAGCCGTTTTGTAGTACGGGCAACAGCAGGAGCAGCAGCAGGAGCAACAGCAATGACAAACACTTTCTGGCCACAGTCACACAGTTGCCTACACTGCAACCAAGTGAAAAGAAAGTTGTGCAGCAAAGCACCACCGACACTGCCACTGACTGGCTGGTTTTACCAAAAATGAGGTTCACTTTCTTGCAGGCAGCAATGCACACACACACNTTGTGCGGCCTTCTAATGATCGCCAGAAAAAGTGCAAAGTCTAAGTCCTTTCTGAACCGTGTTTTTTGCCGTTGTTGGCCTATCGAGCTCACTGCATCTGCTGCGGTGGTTGCAACTGCTGTTAATGCACTTCTAAATTACTGCACGCACTCAATGCAATTACAAAAAGTAAATCAAATTTATGTATTATGAGTTTTGTGCATTACCATAAAAAGTCACCAGACAAAAGGANCAGGCATTTACTGTAGGTGCGAGATGAATTGCCAGTTCAACTGGTCATTGATGCGCACAGTCATTGCGTGGCCTCCGCCTCTTGTGCGGCCTTCTAATGATCACCAGAAAGAGTGCAAAGTCTAAGTTTGTCTGAAGACGGGTTATTTGCCGTTGTTGGCCTATCGAGCTCACTGCATCTGCTGCGGTGGTTGCAACTGCTGTTAATGCACTTCCAAATTACTGCACGCACTCAATGCAATTACAAAAAGTAAATCAAATTTATGTATTATGAGTTTTGTGCATTACCATAAAAGTCACCAGACAAAAGGCGAATCTTTTCTGACTTTGTGCTACGGTGTTCTTACAAAGTAGCTCAGAAAATGGCAAAGGTAGTGATGACAATAATTGCAGTAAGAAAGTGCAGTGTCTGGTACATTTGATCACAACTGACAATTGTGGCATTTTTTAGATTGACAAACTACCTATAGGTAAACTTTGCATTTTAAAGTGTTCTTAGTATGTCTTGAATAATGCACAAAAGCATTAGCCAAATGATGAAACATTTTACAGACGACTCGAAGCAATTTGCATAAAATGACGATAACTTTACATTGAAAAAACTTCAGAAAACACTTGTTCTAACAGTTTTTTGTACTTTAGTACACTTTTTTGTTTATTTTTAATGCTGCAAAACTAAATTTTGTTGATTTTTGCAGTTTTCTATTAAAACCATTTTCCACTTGTTTAATTTTGCTTTTGTAATTTGAACATCATTAAACATGGTTTGTTGATTTTTACTACACAACAAATATTATGAGCGCACTTTTTGGATGCTCAAATTAATTTACCAACAAATTAATTTGAATAGCCAATGCAAAATTAAAATAAATTTATACTGAGTATGTGAAGGATTGAAAAACAGCATTTTAAAAAACAACAACCTCAGTAAACTATTCAAAATGCTAAACTTATTTGGTAGGCAAAGCAAACACCAACTGACGCAAACATCAGTAAAAATTTAACAAATGCTTTCAAAAACGACTTGAATGTTAGTTAGTTTGCCTTTTTCACTGATGTTATGTTGTTGTTATATACTTGTTAAAAGAAATTAACACACTGACTGCATACGAATGCACACAACTANTACGAATGCACACAACTAAACAAAATACGACATAACCGCCATGCAGCCAAGTGCAACTGATTCGAAGAGCAAATTGCTAAAAATGCAAAATTTAAAAAAATAAAAGATTAAAACAAACAATTTAATTAAATGGCTCATTTAAACAACAAATTTAAAAAAAATTGATTATGATTTTAATTTTTTTGCGTTTTACAAAATGTAAAACTCTTTATTGAAATAAAATTTTAATGGTTTTTAGAAAACAAACTTAATCTTATAATATTAAAAACTTTTTAAAATGCTTTGTTTTATAATTTCATACTTTTTATTTTAATATTTTAGCAAAATAAATTAACTGTAATAAAGTTTTTACTTTAAAATTTTTTTAATAACTAATTACAATTTTACAACAAGTTTGTTGACACAAGTTTTATTTTTTTGACATTTTTAGTTTTGTTTAATTTATAACTAAGTTTTAAATTTTTTAATTTAAAAATGATAAAAATTTACATAAAATCCTAACTTTGTTTTAAATTAAAAATGGCTAGTGTACATAAGAAAATTTTATTAATATAGGTTTAACATAATTTTAGTACTTTTTTGTACATAAAAACGAAAAATTGCATACAATAAAGTTAGTCAGTTTTGCTAGACGTTATTTGATTATGCTCATAAAATGACTGCATCACTTTTTGTAGTTAGACAATTAGTCTCTGAGGACCATCTTTACCTTATTTTTCAGTTTTTATTGTGAATGCTTTGTATAGGTCAAATAAAAAAGGCATCAAACACGACGTGTTTTGAAAAACGCAAACAAATATCTACCATTAAGTTAGCTTAGTGAATATACAAACATGCAAAAAAGTCAGACTTGCTAGGTTGAAAAAAACTGTACAATTGAAAAAACTAGTAAAGAGAAAAAGTCCCCTGTTTGCCACTGCATCAACAATTACGGTTTGTCAGGTGTGGAGGAAAAGAGAAAAAGAACACCACTGAAAGTCAATGGCAAATGACAGCTTGCCGCCAACGGCACTGTCAATGAAAATTGGCAGCTCTCGGCAGCTGTCGGCCGTTCGAGCTTTCTGTTTTTAGTGACCCACATTTAGATTCTGAATGACTCGTGTTTGCCATCTATGTGTCGGAGGCGCAAGTAGACGTCGGTGCCGATGCCCTGCATCGACTCGATGCTCAGCCGCCCATTGAGGTACTCGGCGTAGGCGCGCGAGGTGGGCAGGCCAAAGCCGAAACCGTGCATCGGAGACGCCCTTGCCTGACTGTCCGTCATGATGTTCTCGAAAAGGCCGCGGTCGAAGCGAGAGTCAGAGGCGGCCCGGCTGGCCGTCGTGAAGTGGTACTGCGTGACCAGGTCCACCAGGTCGTGGGCGATGCCGCCGCCGCGGTCAGAGATGCGAATGATGAAGTCGACGTCATTCGTGGAGATGGTCACCATGATGGGTGGCAGCGTCGGCGAGTCGTAGTGGGCCTCCACGGTGGCGCTGCAAACAAAAAATGAACAGAAGGAAAACAAAGAGTTAGTGTGTAAAAGACAGTTTTCTTTGGCTCAAAACATGTAAAATTACGTACCGAACGGCATTTTTGAGCAGCTCCGGAAGAATGTAGTCCAGCGGCGTGCGAATGTAAGGAAAGGCGGCATTGACGTGACCGTTGATCTTCACCGGCGGCGCCCGTCCGTAGTACCTCTCTGACATCTTGCAGACGTAGTCCGTCCAGTAGTCGACGATTTCCTTC